CGAGTCCGGAATGAAAAAGAACAGGCTGCAAATTATGAAGATGAGGCACTCTGACATGACCCGCGACACCTACTTCATCCGCCCGGCCAACGGTCACAGCAGCCCTGGCATCAGGTGCCCCGAATCCCTATATATGAGGATCGTTGGCCTATCAGCTCTTTGGGCACCTCGTTATTTCATTCGTGGAACGCAGTGGGAGAATATACCAAGTATTCTCAGCATTGGGCTATCTTGTCGCACCGACGACACCAGTAAGAAGAGGGGCAGACAGTTCGTACATGGATGCCCATACCTTCCTGGTGACAATAGAATCAAATTTGGTTTACGTATGGATTCTGTGGTCCTGATCATGGTTAGCTAAATGTCAACATCCGTCAACAACCATAGGCAAATCAGTGTCTTGGGCCTCCTCTGGCCTTCCTGGAAGCCCTCTTGGGGGCCTCTTGGGCCGTCTTGGGCCAGCGTCGAGCCAACTTCGGCCATCTTGGTGGGTCCCTGGCACGTCTGACGCCGTCGGGCGCCGTCTTAGGGGCCTTTCTGGGCCGATTTGGGGCCCTTTCGGGGCGCTTCGGGGCCGTGTTGGAGGCCATCTGGGGCGTCTTGGAGGCCACTTTGGGCGTGTTGGAGGCCTCTTGGGCCGTCTTGGGGCCCTCTTGGGGCCGTTTTGGAAGCCACTTGGGCCGTCATGGGGCCCTCTTGGGGACCTCTTGGGTGATCTTGGGGGCCTCTTGGGCCGTCTTGAGCCGTCGGACTCTTCGGGCCCTCCAGGAGGACCTCTTGGAGGCCTCTTGGGCCGTCTGGGAGGCCTCTGGGGGGCCTCTGGGGGGCCTCTTGGGCCGTCTTGGACTCTCTTGGGCTGTCTTGGAGGCCGTCTTGGACCATCTCGGGCGGACTTGGAGGCCATCTTGGGCCATTTTGGACCATCTCGGCCGTTTTTGGCATTGACTGATGCAGTTTCCGGGTGGCCGGCGGGACGGGCCGAAGCCCCAGAGGGAGGTTCTTTTGGAAAAGAAACCAAAACCAACACCGAGAGGATTCAGCACGCCAAGCACCCCTGCGATGAATCGACAAGGGGCGGCGGATCTAAGACGCCTACGGCGAATCACAGCCGCCCCCTGCCTTCGTGGAAGTGCCTATGTGGCCGAACGTTTAGGCCAGACCTGCCAAGCCATCGGACCATGTGTTCCCCGAGTCGGTTTGGAAAGCCTTCGGGGAACACTTGGGCATCTTGAAGGTCGTCTTGTCCGTCTTGGAGGCCTCTTGGGCGATCTTTCGGCGATCTCTGGGGGCTCTTGGGCCGTCTCGGGCCGTCGGAAGGTCGAAAAGAAGGACATGTCAAAATTCGTCACAAACCTAAGGCACATCAATGTGTTTGGCCTCTTCTGGCCTGTCTGGGAGCCCTCTTGGGGGCCTCATGAGCCTTTTTGGGCCAGCTTCGAGCCAACTTCGGCCATTTTGGTGGGTTCCTGCACGTCTGACGCCGTCGGGAGCCGTCTTGGGAGCCTTTCTGGGCCCACGGGGGACCCTCTTGGGGCGCTTCGGGGCCGTTTTGGAGGCCATCTGGGGCGTCTTGGAGGCCATTTTGGGCGTGTAGGAGGCCTCTTGGGCCGTCTTGGGGCCCTCTTGGGGCCATCTTGGGGCCCTCTTGGGCCGGCATGGGGCCCTCTTGGAGGTCTCTTGGGCGATCTTGGGGGCCTCTTGGGCCGTTTTGGGCCGTCGGAATGCCGAGAAGAAGCACATTCCAAAATCCTTCAAAAACCTAAGGCAAATCAATGATTTTGGCCTCTTCGGGCCCTCCTGGAGGACCTCTTGGCCTCTGGGGGGCCTCTTGGCCCGTCTTGGACTCTCTTGGGCCGTCTTGGAGGCCGTCTTGGACCATATTGGGCGGACTTGGAGGCCATCTGGGGCCGTCTTGGAGGCCATCTTGGGCCATCTTGTCCACCAAGCCATCGGACCACGTGTTCCCCGAATCGGTTTGGAAAGCCTTCGGGGAACACGTGGGCGTCTTGAAGGTCATCTTGGCTGTCTTGGAGGCCTCTTGGGCGATCTTTCGGCGATCTCTGGGGGCTCTTGGGCCGTCTCGGGCCGTCGGAAGGCCGAAAAGAGGAAATGTCAAAATCAGTCAAAAACCAAAGGAGCATCAATGTGTTTGGCCTCTTCTGGCCTGTCTGGAAGCCCTCTTGGGCGCCTCATGGGCCTTTTTGGGCCAGCTTCGAGCCAACTTCGGCCATCTTGGTAGGTTCCCGGCACGTCTGACGCCGTCGGGAGCCGTCTGGGGGGCATTTCTGGGTCAACGGGGGACCCTTTTGGGGCGCTTCGGGGCCGTCTTGGGGGCCATTTTGGGCGTCTTGGAGGCCATCTTGGGCGTGTTGGAGGCTTCTTGGGCCGTCTTGGGGCCCTCTTGTGGCCATCTTGGAGGCCACTTGGGCCGTCATGGGGCTCTCTTGGGGGCCTCTTGGGCGATCTTTGGGGCCTCTTGGGCCGTCGGAATGCCGAGAAGAAGCACATTCCAAAATCCTTCAAAAACCTAAGGCAAATCAATGATTTTGGCCTCTTCGGGCCCTCCTGGAGGACCTCTTCGAGGCCTCTTGGGCCGTCTGGGAGGCCTCTGGGGGGCCTCTTGGCCCGTCTGGGGCCCTCTTGGACTCTCTTGGGCCGTCTTGGAGGCCGCCTTGGACCATCTTGGGCGGACTTGGAGGCCATCTTGGACCATCTTGGAGGCCATCTTGGGCCATCTTGGCCATGTTGGAGCCGTCTTGGGCAGAAAATTTGGGACGTGGAGCAAATCCCGGGACCCCGGCGGGCCGGGCCGAAACCCATGAGGAGAGTTCTTTTAGAAAAAGAACCAAAACCAAAACCGATAGGGTCTGGCACGCTGGGCACCCCTTTGCTGAAGCAGAAGGGGGCGGCGGATTGAATGGCCTTCGGCCCATCCCGCCACCGTGCCTGGGGTGTGGGTCGCAGGCCTCTAGGATGTCGCGGGAGGTCTCTGTGCCGTTTTCGGGTTTCCTGGAGCGTCTTCGGGGCCTCTCGAGGGTCTTTCGGGGCCTCTTGGGGGACTCTTGGAGCCTCCTGGGGGCCTCGTGGGGGTGAAGTTTCGGATTCTCGGTTCCTGTTCTTCCTCTTGGACCCTTCTTGGGGCTGTCTTTGGGCTCTCTAGGGCCGTCTTGGGTGCCTGGAGCCGCCTTGGCGCCCTCCGTGGCCGTGCTGTGGCCCTCCTGCCCTCTTGGGCCGTCTTGGGGCGGTCCCGAGGGCCGTCTGGGAGCGCCGGGAGCTCGGAGAGTCGAGGAGCCCCCCCCACATTGAGGGCCTCCTCCCTCCTCCTCCCTCCTCCCTCCCTCCTCCCTCCTCATCCTCCCTCCTCATCCTCCCTCCTCCTCCCTCCTCCCTCCTCCTCCCTCTTCCTCCCTCCCTCCTCCCTCCTCCTCCCTCCCCCTCTCCTGGCGAGGGAGGTCGGTCTTGGGCGCCAGCTTGGCCCGTCTGGGGGCCCTCTGGGGCCCAGAAGAATCCTGCGACGAGACGCGCCGGATCCCCGACGAGCCGCGGGGCGCCCAAGGAGATTCGGCCATGTGTGGTCCGGGCCCCCTGAAAGACTCCTCAGGAGTGGGGATTGGGGCCTTTGAGGATGAGGGCAAGAACCTGGGGGCGCGCCCACTCCGTGCCCAGCGGCACGGCGGCGGAATACGAGACAAGGATCCCAGATGTTATCGATGAGGCATCCACAGGAGTCGCTGCAGCTTCGACATACCCATGGGGCATCCAAGACATCAATGCGGACGTGGTCCGGGGACGGGGCGTGGGGGTGAACGTGTACGTGCTGGACACCGGCATTCGCACAACCCACGTCGAGTTCGAGGGCCGGGCCTTCGCTGGAGTGGACGTGGCCGCCACAGGCTCCCTCACAGTGTGTGCGAGCGGCAGCACAACCTGCGCTGCAGACTTCAATGGGCACGGCACCCACTGCGCGGGCACGGTGGGGGCCGCCACGTACGGCGTCGCAGATGGCGCGACACTCTGGGCAATGAAGGTGCTCGATGACGACGGCAGCGGCTACGTCTCTTGGATGATTGCAGCCGAGCAGTGGGTTTTGTCGAGTGGTCCCAAGCCAGCAGTGGTGAGCATGAGTATCACGGGCGATGGCAACAGCCAGAATGAGAAGGCCTCAATCGACGCGCTGGTGGCGGCTGGAGTGACCGTGGTGGTGGCGGCAGGGAACCAGAACAGTGACGCGTGTGGCTACAATCCGGCTTGGATCCCTTCGGCGATCACGGTGGGCTCTTACGCGACGGGAGGGGCCAAGTCCGGTTTTAGCAACTACGGTTCCTGCGTCGACGTTTGGGCTCCGGGCTCGGGCATCCTCTCGACGTACTACACGAGCGACACCTCGACGAAGTCGCTTTCGGGCACGTCCATGGCCTGTCCGCACGTCTCTGGGCTCGCGGCCATCATGTACGAATTGAACCCAACGGCGGCATCCATGACTTCCACGCAGAGGGAGGCTCTCCTGAGTGTTGGTCAGCGCACCGACTACGTCACAGGCCTGACGGCGAGCAACAACAACTTCGTGTTTTTGGCACCGACTTCTGTCCCGACGCCCAGCCCGTCGCCAGACGGGGCTGGTGCCGTTGGTGACCCGCACCTGCAAAATATTCATGGTGATCGGTTCGACTTGATGCAGGCAGGCAGCCATGTTCTGATTCACATCCCACGCGGAATGAGCGTTGCAAACGCGTTGCTTCACGTCTCGGCCGTTGCATCTCGATTGGGAGGACATTGTGCGGATATGTACTTCCAACATGTGAACGTTACGGGATCTTGGGCAGATGCAGCACATCCAGGAGGGTACCATTACAGCGCATTGCAAAATGAGGTCAAGACTCCGCAATGGGTCGCCCTGGGTAAGGTTGAGCTGAAAGTCGTTCACGGACGCACGGGCAAAGGCCTGAAATATCTTAACATGTACGTGAAGCACTTAGGGCGAACAGGATTTGGTGTCGGAGGTCTCCTGGGAGAAGACGACCATGCGGACGTCATTCGTCCGGATGAGGCGTGTTCCAAGCAAGTGTCTCTTGAGGTCAATACGGATGGCCAGGGTTCGTCCAGCGCGTCGTTTGCGGTTGCAATGCCTGAGTGACTATGATGCAGCACCCTGAATAATCTGACTACAAGATGAAGTTCTGCTTCACTTGAGCTTACGCTACTTTATTAGCGTTGATCTTGACATCTTTACATATTGACATTATGTTTCGGCACCATCTTACGTTGACCGTGTTTGTCTTTTGTCATACTGTGCTCTCGCTCATCTGCGGAGCGTCACAGTCGATCTTATAGTAAAACATTCGCGCTATAAAGCATCGTCGTTGTGATGTTTGCGGTCGGCTCTGCCATCACGGTTTCGGGGAAGAGGTTCTGCCCTGTTGGCGGGTGCGTTTTTTGTGTGTACATTGTCCCGACCTATGGGGAAATCCTTTGCAAGGGCTGGTGCATTGCTCATCTATGCGCATGAGGTTATGCGTCTTGAGTCGCTGATCCGTTCGAGGCAATTCATATACACAGTTTCGGGTTCCACTGCGCCGCTGCCTCCTCTGGCCATGCGAAAGGGGGATTTGCGCGGAGCTCTGCGCAAGTGCGCGCACACGTGTGCGTGAATGTGTGTAAAGAAGGGCCGCTTCGCGGGGTGCGCATGTACGTGTGCGTGCGGGCTATGGGGCACGGCGCCTGAGCGGCTCGCCTTGCGCCCCTTGCGGCCGAAAATGATGGTAAGGACGGGTACTCCAGATTTCGTAATAAAGGGAGGGGGGTCTCATTTCGGGGGGGGGTCTCTTCCAGGCTATCTTGGAGGGCCTGGGGGGTCTGGGGACGATGTTTTGGAGGGTTCTCCCACGGGGGAGGTCTGAAATGGCTTGTCTTGGAGGGTCCAGACCCCCTCCCTTTTATTACGAAATCTGGGGTATCCTTGCATCCGTGCTTCTTCGGCCGAACCTTGACCACTTTCGATGGCGGCCGGCCCAGCTCGAAAAGCTTCGGCACGGGCGTCCAAGGGGCCTGCATCCTTCTCGCGCATGCTCCTCGCGTCCCTCCTCGCCGCCTCATCCACCCTGGGGGCCTCACCCGTGCCCACGCGCGGTCGCGCCGCCAGCCCCCCCAGAAAGGTGCGCGGGGTGGGACGCGCGCGTGCACCCCATCCTTCCATCCCCCCCCCAGAGTCGGCGGCGAGCCCGGGGAGGGGAGTGAGAAGGGGCGGGCCTTCTCAGAACACTCAGAAGTCCCCCAGCCCTCTGATGAGTTTTCTGAGCCTTCCCCGAAGACACAGCTGATTTTGCAGGAGGCCAGAGGGCTCCTTAAAAGTCCCGCCGCCTTCTGAGAGATGCCTTCTCTGCAGGCGGCGATGCTTGCTTCGCACGCTTCGGGAAGCGTAGAGAAGGTCACAGAGGGACCGTTGATGATTGATTGTTATTCTGTTCCATGTACCCGCTCACGTGCAGGCGTTTTCATGTGGTCGCGTTGCTTGAATTCGCACGCTGTCGCATGTCGTTCGGGATGTCTGCACCTGGTTCTTAAAAGGTTTTGGCCTGCCCCCTGCTGGCAGCCTGCCGCCGCCCCGCCGCAGCGGCTCCCCGCGGGAGCGCTCCCGCGCTCGCCGCCGCCGCCGCCCCCGCGCCGAGCTGCTGCCCCACCGCTCGCAGGAGCGCGGCCGCCACCGCTCGCAGGAGCGCTTGGGGTCGCCTTTGGGGCCGCGGGGCCGCCAGAAATGAGGAGAGAGGCGGCGGGCCTGCGAAAGGTTTCGCCGTCCCCTGCCCGGGGGACAAGGACCCTTCTTCCACTGCGAGGCCCAGAGTCCGCAAAAGACCCCATGCGTCGCGTGAGCCCCGCAGGGGTGTCGGACGAGGAGATGCGCCGAGTGGCCGGTTTGCTGGAGGACCTCAGGGCGCTGGCGGTTGTTTCGGTACCTCACCCCTGGCCTCGCGAAGGAGCTTTCCAAGAGCCCGCTCGCGCACGACGCAGATCACGCGGCATGCACTTTAGCGCGCGAGGTCTGTCGGAGGCTTCGGGCGGAAGCAGCGCCCAGCCAGTCATTCGACGCGCCCCCAACCCCAGCGGGTTCCGCGTTTTACGGAGGCCGCGGCGAGGCGCGCGCGCTGCCGCAGGGCGGCGCGGCAGGTCCCCGTCCTCCTCAGACACAGAGGACCGCAAGACGTCGTCCATCGATGTCTGCAAGGCGCTCAAAGCGCACGGGTTGGACGGCCTCCCTCTGGACAAGTTCCCGAAGGCCTCCGTCTTGCAGCTTTTGCTGCGGAAGGCTCGCAAGAAGACGGGTCACGGTCGCTTGCCGTGGGTCGCTGGCGAGCTCAAGAAGGAGTTCGAGCCTCTCCGCCTCTCGGTCGACAGCACTCTCCGGAAGGCGGGGAAGGGGCTGAAAAGCGCCTCCTTCGATCACTGGGCGTCTTGTTGGTGGAGCAGGGGCTTCAGGCAGCTCGTTCTTCAAGCGGAGATCGGGTCAGAGCGCTTGTCGTTGGAGAGCCTGCTCCGCTGTTTCTTAGACCTTCGCCACCTTGCGCAGGAGTCGAACGTCGGCGCGGCCCGCGAGTTCGACCGCCGTGAATGGCAACAGCTTGCCACCCGTATCGGGAATCGGGACACGAGCGCCGACCCGAACCAGACCTGCGCCAGGGTCGCCGCGCGCGCCGCCCCTGCAGCGGCTTCGAAGGGCGCCCGTAGGTGCGCCTGAATCAGCGAGCACGAGCGTCGCGCGGCGCATTGGCCACGCGGGGCGAGCCGTTCGCGGGCGACGCCAGGGGGCCGCGCTAGACGCGGAAGACGGCGGATAGCCAATTGATTCCTTCCAGTGAGGCCGCTGCGCCGCGCCGGCAAAAGATGCCTCCGCCGATAGTTTCTTCTCCTCCCGCCCCCCCCCCCCTTGCCCCCCCCTCTGCCCTCCTGCAACCATCGTGCCCGCAGGGGCTTCGCACTTCAGAATTTATTAGACTTTCCCAACGGGGCTGCAGGACTCGCTCATCAAGTCCGGCGTCGCAGAACGCACCCTGTCCGCCATCTGAATTGCCTCGTGGCTCTGCCCGCAAGCCCCCGAAATATCGCGTCGAGGCGTCGGCCTGCGAGGCGACGCCGTTGGGCGACCCACTCGGCCCAGGGAAGCGCACAAGCCCCTGCCACTTTGCCCGGGCGTCAGTCGAAACATGCGCGCGATAGCGAGCGATGCTGCCGCGGATGCGTTTCGCCGAGAGCAAGCGTGGAAGTGCCGGCGTCTGCGGGCCGCTGCGCTGGAGCCTGCCCGGCGGCGTTTTCGGGGCAGTGCGACGGCGCAGCGCAGACCCGCCTCGGGGAGAATTCGCGCGCCGCAGCCAGAGAAATCCTCGGTCGCCGCAGGGCGCGAAGATGCGCGCTCCATCCGCCACTCGGCCTGGGGGCCCCCAATTTCTCGCCCCTTGCGCGCGGGCGGGCTTGGCAGACCAACGGGCCGGCTTGTTCCGTCGGGGGGCCCGGGGGCCCCCATCGGCGCGCCAGATTTTGAGCGTCTGCGCGTTCAATACCGCGAGTCAAATGTTCGCGCACGTGCCCGGGCTGCGCCGGGCCCGCCTCGCGGCCGAAGTGCGAGCTATCAGAGATGCAGGCGGGCAAGGTGGGCCCCCCACTTTCTCCAGGGCGTGAACCTGAGCAATGTCCTCTTAGTCGAGCGGTTTGGGGCATCTGAACTTCGGGGTGGCCGCGCGAAGGTTCGGGCCATGGGCGAGTTTAAGGAAAACAATGCGAATTCTCGTTCGCCCATGCGCGAACGCGTTTGGAACGACATTCGCGATCACCTCGCGCGTGCAGCGCATCCCTTGTCGCAGCAGAGCGGGGCGGAAGGTTCGCTCGGGACAAAAGATTCTTCGCGCGCTCTCAAGGCGGCGTGTCCAGACTTCCACCAATCGCAGCCCACGTGGCGTTGGAAATGCGCGCGCAGCCTGTCGGGGCGGTCGGGGCGCTCTGGCGCGGCGGCGGCGCGCCCGTCCTTTTAAATGCATTTCAGTCCGATATGCGTCTTTGTTGTTCGCGCACGTGGACGACGCCTTCCTCGCGGGCGTCAAAGCGCCCGCCTCCCGCGCGAAGACAACGCGTCAAGAGGTTGCCCCCGTGCTAGGGTGGGAGTTGGGCCGCGGAAAATCCGGAGCGATGTCGGGGTCGATTCCTCTGTTGGGGCGCGAGGTTTCCGTGGCCCCGCAGGGGGTGCATTCGCGCCTAGGTCGCGAGAAAGCCGTCGCGCGGCCGCGCGAGATGGCCGACGCATTGCGTTCAAACTCGCCCCCCCGGCAGCGGCGTCGAAGTTCGCGGGAAGATTGGCCTTCGCGCGCCAGCGATTTTTCGGTCGCGCGGGAGGCCCCGCTCGCGCCCATTATTCTGGCGAGCCGCGCGTTGCGGGGGCTGGGCTCGCACGAGCCGGCCACGCGCTTCCTTGCGCCGGCGGATTCGCTTATGTTTTTTTTTTTTTTTTTTGGAAATCTGGCAGGGCGGTCGCCGCGAGAGAGTTCGCAGTGGCCCCTGTCGATGTCGAATCGAAGTTGACCCAGGCGCCGAAAGGAACGGGGGAATCGGGGCAGCGGTGATCTCCGCAGGCAGCTGCGCGAGAGAATGGGCCAGGAGCGCGGCTCCGCGGCCCCGGGGGCGCATTTTGCGCAAGAGCAAGAGGGACATTCGAATCAATGCTTTTGAATTGCTGGCGGTAGCGGCAGCATTCAACGCGCAGGCGTCGCAGTTCGCGGGCAAGAGAGTTTTGGTCTGCATCGACAATGCTGCGGCTACAGACGTCACGGTGTCAGGGTGGTCGAGACGACCAGATCTCAATTCAATTGCCAGCGCCGCGTGGCTGTCCGTCGCCTAGGCGCAGGCCTCCATCGAATGCCGGCGGGCGTCGTCGGCGAGCAGCCCCGCCGACTGCTTGGGCCAGGGCGCCAGAAGCCCGCGGCAGAAACGCAGACGGGGGGCACTGAAGCGGCCCGCGCTTGCTGGAGTACTCGCGGAGTAAAAACCTTCGTTTGCCATCGCGTCGTCTGGCCCCTCGTTCCCTTGTCGCTGCCGCTTCCCTTTCTCTGCCGCTTCCAACTCGCGCCCGCCCCCCCCTCTCCCGCCCCCCCCTTCCCCGCCCCCCCCCCCCCCCCCTTTGCCCCCTCGGCCCCTTGACCCCCCCCGCCCCGTCGCCTTCCTGCCCCCGCCCGCCCCAGGGGCCCCGTGGAGTCGGAATTGCGAACAGTTTCTTGCGCGCCATGCGACGCGGGCCCGGGCGCCGCCGCGCGGTTGATTGGGGAATGCGCGGGTGCCAGACTGGAGCCTGTCGAGTGGCGGAACGCTGGCGCGTTTGCATGCGTGCGTGTTTGATTCGGGGAGTTGTGTTCTGTTGTGTACTGTTGTACGCGCGTTGGGCGCGTCTGCGCGCGGCGCTCGCGCGTGCCCTTGCGACGATTGCGCTGACCTGCCCGGCCGACGCCGGGTCGTGCAGCGTCTGCAGGGGGGGGCCGGCGTCGATCGAGCCGCTAGGCCCTTCTCTGGTCCGCCATGGCTGGGGCGCCGCGCCTTTTCTGCCCTGTCGCGTTGCGAACCGACCGCCCCGCGGCCGCGGCCCCCTGGAGGGCCCCGCCAGCGCCGGTTGGCTCGGCGACCCATAAGAGTGGCCGCCCCAGGGGGCCGCGGCCGCCCCCTGCGGAGGAAGAGCGCGGCGCTGCCCAGCGCGGAGGTGGCCGCCGTGCCGCGCGCCGCAGAACAGGCAGTTGTTCGGCGGTCTGCCCCAGCGAGGGTCGACCGCGCCAGCGAACCAAAGCAGGCGGCTTAGTCTGCTTTGCGCCCGCGGCCCAGCATCGGGCGGACACGACCGCAAGTTGCGTCGCAGCATTTCACGGCTTGCGACGTCGCGCGCGCGATCGGAAGGGCCCGCGCGGTGCTCTGTTCTTCACGGGGAGACTTTCAACGAACGTTGCATGTCAGCGTTTCGCACGCAGGCGCGCCCCGTCTGCGCCTCGCGGGCCCCAGGGCAGCCCGGCAAGGCGCGTCGGCGACGGTTGCGCAGAGCGCGCTCCTCCAGGGGGGGCCCGGGCGCGCTGCGTTGGAAAAGATTCAGTGGGCGGGGGTATAGCGACCCGCTCAGCTTGCCGCGCTCGTGCCTCGCGGACCCACCGTGGGGGATTCTTTCCAACAGTTGCGATGGGCGCATCGGCTTCTACATATCCCGAATGCATGGCGGGGGGGAGGTGTCCAGCAGCTCACGAGAGGGGCGTTCTGAGGCGCAGCGGGTCGCACCGTGGCGCGCCCCGCCTCGCATGGGCGCAAATGTAAGCGGATGATCGTGACAGCGGAGCGGGATGGTAAATTCGAAGTTGCTGACGTTTTCGCGGTTGCGAGAGGTATCTTGCCCCGGGCAGGAGCAGTGCTCGCCCCGCTGTTGCGCGGGCGTTTCGCCGAAGGACGCAAGTCTGGCATCGCGTATGAAAGGGCCGCTACGGTCGTTACTTCGGCGCAGCGCAAGAACAGCGCCGCGCCCGCGTCGCTCCGCAGGGGGCGCCCCTGTCGAGCGCAAGGTCATCGTGCGCGCTGCCCGCAGATCCGCAAACGCGGTGCGTTGCGCCCGTCGAGCTTGCATGAGCGAGGTTTTCTCGGTCGGGCATCCGCTGCCAATGCGGGTGCGCGTGCGTTCGCATGCGTTCAAGCGGGGCATGGCCCAGGGCGCGGCAACCCAACGGCGCCGGTTTTGGGGGGTTCTGCGTGCGGGCGGATGGAGTCCGGCGAGCTTTACGTCTTGCATGCAGCCGCGCGAGCTCGGAATTGGGGCTTGCGCTCAGTGCGTGGACGACCACAGCCACGGCGAACCAGGGCACGCGCGCGGCGCCGCATTGGGTTCGTCGCGCCCAGCCCACACTAAGGATGCAGACCTAGGGCTGGACTGGGAAAGCTGCGCCGTTGAAGCCCCGCGTTGGCGCTGGGTTGGCGTCGCGTCGTGCGCGCGCGGCTCGTCGCCGGCACGGCCGCGGAAGCCCGCGGCCCAGGTGGCGATGCTTGCTTCGCAGGCCTCGGGAACGCAGTGGTGGTCACAGGGGTGCCGTTGGCGATTGATTGTTTGTTCCTGTCACGCATCCGCCGATTGCTGCATGCATCGCGCGTCGCGCGCAGACGTTTTCACGCGGTCGCGCTGCTTGATTTTGCACGCTGCCGCATGTCATTGCGTCGTTAGGCTTGCATGTGTTTGCGCGCTTTCCCACGCCGTTGCGCCATTGGCTTCTGCGCGCGCCCCTCGTCGCCGCGAGTTTTGGGCTCGAACCGCAGGGTTTGGAAAGGCAGGGCAGCCGGGGCCCAGCCCCCTGGCTCGCAATCCCGCCCACCCGCCCGGGGTGCAGACCTAGGGCTGGGCTGGGAAAGCTGCGCCGTTGAAGCCCATGTTGGTGCTCGGTTGGTATCGCGTCGAGCGTGCGTGGCTCGTCGCTGGCACAGCCGCGGAAGCCCGCGGCCGCTGCCCCCCCGCGGCCGCTACGCCCCCCGCGGCGCGGGCCCCCTCGGCACTCGAGCCCCGTTGTCCTGCTCACTTCCCCCCTCGCTTGCCTTCCCCCGCGCAAAGACGCGCGCGCGCAACAGATGAAACAAAACAACGGAACAAGCAATAGTGCGAAGACCTGGCCGCTTCGACTTCAAGCAGCGGGGCCTCCTTCGGGCGCTCGGCCCCCACCCCGCGGGCGCGTTTCGTGAGGCTTCCCCGCTCGCGAGCGCCGAGCGCGCCATCGACCCGCGCCCTCGCGGTCGAGGCTCGGGCGCGCGATCCTGCGGACACGCGGCGTAGATGCTCGGCTTGGGGGACCTTCGCGGGGCCCGCCTCACGCATGCGTTCGATTCAAATACGACCCCAGTTCGATTCGAGTTCGACTCGAATTCGACGCAGGTTCGACTCCAGGTCGGGTCGAAGCGACGGACTTTTGACGCAGCTTCGACGCACGAGCGGGGCGAGAGGTTCAACAACATGCCTCCAGAACATCCAGCGCGGTCGCGCGGACACGTTCCGCGCGGGGCATGCGCGGACAAAAACGCCCCGTAGCCGCGGGGCCGCGGCCCAAGGGCCCGGGCCGCGAAGCCGTGGCTACGGATGTGTGCTGCTTGTGTGCACGCCGGTGGTCTGTGGTCGGAGAGCGCGAACGCCCGCGCAGCCGCCTTTTTCCTCCGCTCGCGCTTGAAAGGGGGGGCATTGGCCTGAGAGGGCGCCACTGCTACAGTGGAGACCCATGCCAACAAACACCCTGCTTGTGCTTGTTGGGTTTCGATGGCTCGGCCATGGCAAGCGTGACGCGCCCGCGCCAAAAACCAATGCACGACCTAGGGTCTCAAGGTTGGGTTTTTTCTGGAAGGTTTCTTGCGGATTGGCCTCCACTGTGCCGTGGCCCACGTGCCACCCGCTCGCCGATGGAGGCCTGTCCACAGGGCCGCCAGGGAGGAAACAGGGAACGATCCGGTTAGGTTCGGCGGCCGGCCCAGGGGGAGGAGTGACAGGGGGCGGGTGTTTTTTTCAGAAGGCTTTGAAGTCCTCCAGCCTTCTCGGAAGCCCCGCCGCCGTCTGAAAGCCGTCTCCTCCTCCTCCTTTTCCCCCTTCGCTCGCCGCCCATATGCGCAGGCGTGGATTATCAGCAAGGGCTTCGCCCCTGGCCGCCGCCCCATCTTTCGGATAATGGGCAATGCAGGAGCGAAAACATGAGGCCTTGGCGCCGCCGTGAAGCAGCGTCGGGACTTCACGCGAAGACCGTGAGTAATCGGTAAGACAAATTAAGATTTTGGTGATATAGTTGAATTCGGTGATGTATTCCAAGGCTTTATGACTTCGGATGCGCGATTCGCGCGTAAGTTACTAGGGCTTTTTGTCCTCGGGCTCGCAACTATAGCGTAAGTTACGCAGGTTTGTGGCTTCGGAGACGCGAGTATCGTATCGTCTAATATTTGAGTGCCCATGGCTTCGGACACGCGATTATCGCTTAACTTACGAAGGGTTTATGGCTTCGGGGTCGCAAGTCTTGCGTCATTTACGCAGGTGTATGGTCTCGGAGACGCGAATATTGCATACTGTACAACGGTTTATGGCTTCGGGGACGCGAGTATCGCATGATTTACGAGCGGTCGTGGCCTCGGGGACGCAAACATAGCGTCAATTACGATGGTTGATGGTTTCGGGGATACGAATACGGCGTATTTTGCGAGGGGTTATGGCTTCGGGGACGCGGATATCGCGTAATTCGCGAGGGTCTGTGGCCTCGGGGACGCGAAGATTGTTTAATGTACCAGCATTATGGTTTTTTGGGGGGGCGCGAGTTTCATGTATTCTACGTGTCCCACGCCCCCCCATCCAGGAATTCAGAGCGCGCGATTTGGGCGTGGGAAGTAGGTTCCTTCTCGGCCCCCCCACTCGCGCGGTCCATCAACAAGGAACAGCAAGCAACAAGAAACATACATGTAACAGTGGAAACTGGAAACTGGAATTGGCGCAGGGAACAGCAAACCTTGGTCCTACAGCCTGGTGGCCCCACACGGTAGCCGGCGGATATCCTTATCCGAGTGCGTACTGGATGTTCTTGAGAGGGGCGCCAGAAGGCCGAGGCGTATTAGTTTTGGACAAACATCGAGCCCCTAGGGGCCAGGTTTCTGTCCAGTGCGCCTCGGGCTCCTGGGGAAGGGTGCCCGGAACTCCAAGCAGCAGGGGCTATGGACCAAACAATTGCCCGCAGTTGAGCCGGACCGAGGTAGAAGGTCGAGGTCGACTCGGGGAGGGCACCCCCTACTGTCATTCGTGGCTGTTGGACGTTCTTGTGCATCCTGGGGGCGGTGCCCTTGAGATGTTCCTGCCTGCTCTGGCCCACGAAAAGGCTCCTGCTCTCGAGGGATGCTCCTCTGGCCTGGGTCCGACGGCATGCTCTTCGCCCGCCCCCCTCGTCCCCCCCCCCGCTGCAGGCGGTGGCGGGCGCGGGGCAGCCCGCGCTGGTCGGCCTGATGCCCCCGGGGACGCCCCCGAGGTCCGCGCACGCGCGCCCACCCCGGGACGTGCCGCCCCGTCGGGGACGACGGCGCCGCCGACGGCGCCGACGGCGCCGACGACGACGACGGCGACGGCGACGACGACGACGACGACGGCGACGACGGCGACGCCGACGACGACGACGACGGCGACGACGCCGACGGCGTCGCCGCCGCGGGCTCTCGCTCGCCGAAGCGCGAGCGCCAGGGCGCCCCAGCGGGGGACAGCCGGGGGGCAGGCGCGTCCAGAGGTTCGCCGACTCTCGAGCGTGGCGAGGCGGCAGTTCGAGAAGTCGCCATGGAGGAAGTCACCACCCACCAAACCACCCCAACCCAACCCGAAGGACCAATTTTCCATCCATTCCCAGTGGGGGGGGGGGGCACTTTGAAAAAACACTCGTGGGACCTGTACCCCCTCAACCCGAAATTTGGGTTTTCGGGTTGGGTTGGAATCAGGTCGGACCCGATTCCGGCAGGAACCTCTTCCTGTCTATACAGTTGTGTGATGTGTAGAAGGTACGTGCTCTGATGTGTGTGTAGAACCTCTCAGGAGTTCCATCAGAACACGTAGTTTCTACACATTTCTGTGTGCTGTGTAGAAGCTACGTGTTCTGATGTGTAGAGTTGGCTCGCCGAAGACACATACATAGATCCACGGATGCGTACAACCTGATCTCTGGTTCCGAACCCCCACCTAGTTTGAGGGCGTGCAAACCTCCGAATCGGGTCCTGAGGTGCGTCGCCAGTTTCGGGCTCTCGGGGCCCTCCACGGGCCCCTGGGGCTGAGAAGACGACACGGGGATGCAGATCTCTTTCTGGGGGGAGGCCCCGGGTCCAGGGCCCGTTCTTTTCAGGACCCGCTCCCCCCCATGCTCAAGCGGGGATGGACTACAGAATTCATGTACCCCAAAATTGGAACAGTCGTCGAATCTACGGAGTAATAACCGTAGATCTACGATAGGTCTACGCGCGTTTTTGATGGGGTGAGATTCGGCCAAAAACATGTTTTGGGGTCAATCATGTCTGTAGTCGATCTCCGACTCGGGCAGTCGGTGGCGAAAATCCGAACCCTGCTCTTGTCGATCAGAGATTCGGGCAGCTCGAGTGGAGGTGGGGGTCGGGTTCGGAACTCGTCGAGTTCGTGGCGATGTCAGAGCCCTACCCCCTCCTCCCATCGACCCAGGAGGGTCCACGGCTGATGGCACCCGCGCTGGCGCCACCCCTTCGGGACGACGCGGCGGCGTGCCCGGAGGTCTGGCGACTCTCGCCAGGCGGCGGGCCTGTGACGGTGGGTACGATAGAACTGGATACGGAAGAAGTGGGTACGCCGACAGCGAGTCCTCCCCCCTCCTCCCTCCTCCGTCCCCTCCTCCGTCCCCTCCTCCTCCCCTCTCCTCCCTCCTCCCTCCTCCTCCTCCTCCTTCTCCTCCCCCTCCTCCTCTCTCCTCCTCTTCCTCCTCCTCCTCCTCCTCCTCCTCCTCCTCCTCCTCCTCCTCCTCTCCTCCTCCTCCTCCCCCCCTCCCTTCTCCTCCTCTCTCCTCCTCCTCCTCCTCCTCGTCCTCCCTCCTGTTCCTCCTCCTCCTCCTCCTCCTTCCGTTGCCATTTTGGCTCAAGGTTCTCGCTTCCATTGGGAACAAAGTGGATGCCGCTAGTCCGCGGCCAACTTCAGTGATCTCTTACAGGCCACCTCAGTCGAGCTGCGCGCTGCTGAGGGCGAGCCTCTTCTTTTCAGTGGTCTCCTGCAGGAGCATCTCATGGCAAGTTCTTATAGCAGTACGAAGATGCGACAACAAAGGGATGGTTATGTCGCTTGCACGTAGTGCCATTGCCAACCGGACTTTCGCAATCATACGTTATGTTGGAAGTGCGGAGGACGGCTGCAAACCGCTCAAGTCACACCACCTCGGCCTCAATGTTTGTGGTCACGCGACAGCTCCGCCGTGGTGGACGCGAAGCATAGAATCCTCTACAGTACCGCCCAGTTCGCAGCGGGACCGGCAGGAACCTGGGCCCCAAACTCCACGACCCGCAGCTTCCAGGACCCGAACTCCCTCTTTGCACCTAATCTGGAGCAGGTTTTGCAGTGTCTGGAGAAGCATGCTCCAGAGGCGAAGGATCACATCAAGGCTGTGGTCGCTGAAGCACAAGCGCCGAAGGAAGTACCAGTTCGTCCAGCTCTTCTTCGCGAACAACGGCTTCAGGGAGCTAGGGTGGCGGCCCGCAATGCCAGGGAAGCGCTTCAGCGAGCTGTTCAACATGAGCAGCCATGCCAATAATGGATGGACCAGGCCAAGGCAAACACTCAGCGGTTGGCCATCGACGTTGCCGCGGCAGAATCCGAGTAAAGGTCATTCGAGAAGAGCAGGAAGTATTGAGGGAATCCTTGGGCGAGCCCAAATCGCAGTCAGCGGCAGCAGCGGGCGCCATTAATCTGTCCGCGATCCTCCAGAACCATTCGGGCGAAGCTGCCCTGGACGGCCTACTCCGCTAGGAAGACGGGGACCTTTTTATACTTTGATGGGCTCGAACTTTCCAGCGCGCAGGTCGAGCCGTGGAAGAATGTTAAGGATGTCCTCGCAAGAAGACATCAAGTCTCTCATCGCCCAAACAGTTGGCCCGTCAGCTCAAGGCATTGCGTCGCGCAGGCACGAATTCGAGCAGTTCCGCGGTCGCATGGCCAGCAAGCGACGGGGGGCGGAAGCAGGAGGGCTGCCAGGAGCGGCTGAAGAGCCCCCCGCTGCCAAGCCAGTTCCAGCCCCAGCTGAAGCAGGTGACGAAGACGAGGGGATGGGCGCCCAAGTCGAGAGTGCCGCGAGCGGTTCGAGTGGCGCGACGGCGCTTGACAAGGACGTCGCGGAGCGCCTCTCCCAGGAAGCCTGGCCCCCCGTCGCCGCAGACATTGAGAAGGCCATGCAGAATTCGGAGTCGCGGGTTTAGCCGCGGCGCCTTGCGTTCGCGCTGCGCCAGGAAGCACATGCATGACAGTCTCACCGAGGTCCCGCGCGAAGTGGTCCCACAGAATATTTGGCCGCGGGTCGCCAGGGCCAAGTCCTTGTTCCAAGAGCGCGCGGGCGACCTCATCATCGCGCGCGAGACGCGCGTCCGCCAGGGCGGCACGAACGACATCCCCTCCTTTTTGGGCCAGCGCAGGCGCGCAGGCATAGTTCCCTTAGCTTACTCTTGCCAGCGCGCGAGACAGAGCGGGGGGCGCCGTGATGGGCATCCGCGGGCATTTTCTGTTCCATTCTTTTCGTTGCATGGCTGGCGACGCTAGTTGCGGTCGCGGGGCGATTGACCCAGCAGCCCCTTATTTCGCCGCGCCCTTTCAAGTTTCGGGATATGGTTGCTGTTAGTTGGGGGGGGGGGGGGGGGCACCGCCACATCATCGGTGTTTTTTTGTTCGCTGCTTCCACGGGCGTCTACCATGGGCCCAATATCGAGAAGCTTCCCATTATCTCAGCGCTCATAGCGTCACGCGAAGGACCAGCGGCAGTTCCAACGCCACCCCTCAGCAGATGCAGGCTTGGATCAATATGTGGAATGCGAATGTCTGTTTCCTTGTGAATACCACGCATACATCCACGAGAGGAGCCGGACAGAGGATCATCGACCATGCCATCACGTCGCAGACCTTCGCAGATTTGCACCAGTCCTCGGAGTTGGTTTCCCCGGGCAACGGAGACCATTGCGGCATCGAGCTTTTCTTGGGGCCCACGCCGCAGTTCAGTCAGCGCCAAGTGCCCAGCCTGCCCAAGCCATTCACGCCCCAACCGCCTCGACGCGGAGATGCGGATCTCGATGACAGGCGCAGTAGCAAGCGGCAGCAACGACAGCTACAAGCACAGGCGCAGGAGCAAGCGCACCCTGCGACGTCAAGTTCAGCGGGGGGCTTGCCGTCGCGAGCGCAGGCGGCTACACGATCGGTTGCACAGACTTCCTCTGAGCCGCAGATCGCGAGAAGACTTGCGTCCAGCATGGTGGGCGACGAGACAGATACGCCCGCGATCTTAGACCACGAGAATGATGGATATCGCGCAGCCCGTGCTGACAGAGGCCAAGAAAGTTGAGCCAGAGAACGAGGTCGGCGACCCAGAGACTAAGCGCACCGCGCTTGTCAGCACCATTTTCCTTGGGCAGGCCAAGCCGCGCCGGACCGAGGAGTTCTCCGACTGCGACCAGGGCGCGCTGAACCCGTTGCGGCAGGACGCCGCGCATCTTGACCTGAAGGAGGTGATCGCCGAAAAGGGGCGGCGTGGGCGGGTCGACTCTTTCGCCCAATGGGATTCAAGCCAACTAGACGCCTCTGGAGTGAGACCAGCAGCAGCATGCTAACCAAGGGCACGTGGTCAACGCCTCCCCCTTGGATCTCGAGTTCGCTATCGTATCGATATGCTCCCGCGGCGTCTGCGCGGCTAGGGTTCACTGTCGGGCGCGCGATATCTCGCGTAGAGTTTTACTTCTGCGGAGTACTCGGCATGCCGAAGGCAGTGCAATTGCCGCATTGCGGACGAGGGGAGGCACGCACCTTCTCAACCATTGTAGTTGCTGCCAAAGGTCAAGCAAGAAGCCGCGCCGACGCGCCCCTCAAATGGTGCGCGCACATCCAAGGATGGCTGCATGCGTCTTCCAACGTGCACAAGGCAATTCACGAGCCCAGACCTGCCCGATTTTCACGACCCAGGCGTGGTTTCAGCGGAGGACGACCTCAGGCGCGCATGGAATTCTTGGTGCAGCAGTTGCACCATGCCGCAGCCAGAGCACCATCGCAAGGCCCAGGAGTTGTCGCAGGCCAAGATCGAGTACACTGGGCTACATGTCCATTGAATATCCACCATCTCCCCGTCCAAGCAGTGATGATCTTGTCAGACAGCGCAGACGCCATCGCTGGGAACTTGGAACGGAAAGCAGCAGCCAACACCTACGGCGCTTTCCGCGACTGGATTGTCACCAACCCGAGCAACAATGCGGGCATGCTACATCGCATAGTCAGGCCAGAGGC